ATCACCACATAGAGCGCCCGTGACACATAGCCGAAGTGTGTCAGGCCGTTGGGCATTTCGGCAGGGTCACCGACACAACTGAGCGCCCCCCTGAGGCCCTCCGAATCGATGAGGCGCTCCAGCCGTCTGCGAAGGGTGCTCACGGTGACGATGCCGTGCCATTCTGTGCTGGCTGCCCGGAGCCTGAGGCTGGTCACGACGTCGCATTCCAGGGCGATGATATGCAGGATGGGCAGGTCAAGAAGGCAGAGGGGGCAGCGGTCGTCGGTGGACATCGCTGAATTCTTTTAAAGGCCGCTTCACCTGCTGTTCCTGAGCCGTCTGCACCTTCAAACCCGGTCCGGATCTTCACTGGGTCCATTCTTGAGCTCGCTTTTTTTTCGATGGCTCTTGTCTCCCTCTTTTTCCCCTTTCCTCAATGGGAAGTCACACCCCACACAGATCTGCTGTCAAAACGGTTGAAGTCAGGCAGATCAATTTGCGAGCTAAAGGAGGATCGACCTGCGAGCTGTTCCTTTCACGACACGAACCTCCTTTTCTACTTGTGCTGCTTTCATCTTGCTTGGTTTTGACACCTTCGACGGCGTCTGTTTTCATCGGAGCGCATCGGAGTTTTCGTCTCACTCCGCCTTCCCCCACCCCCCGTACTCGTTTTTACCGACTGAGCTTGTTGCCTCGTGTGTACGTGTGACCGCGAGAGCTCCGTCGACCGACTGCTGACGCGCGAGTGTTGCCTCCTGCGGTAGACGGGCGTGATCTGGCCATGTTGACGTGCTGCGCCCGCCCCACCAAGGTGGACGAGCAGGAGATCCTGTTGGCGCCTGACGGCACCCCCCATCCCACCCCCCTCCCCCCCTCCTCCCCACGCGAGGTGGACGAGCATGGCTTCGGCAGAGAGCTGGACAACTGGGAGCAGAACTGGGACATCCTCCACACCGCCGGTGTCAAGCTCCAGCGGCCGCTCTTCATCCAGAACGCCATCAGTATCATCACGAGCCAGCCCTTTCACCTCGAGGACATGAAGGAGGCCGGCAGGATGCTCATGGCGCGACACGCCGCTCTGCGCGCCAGGGTCCTGGTCGACAAGCACAGGGGGCGCATTAGGCGCAGATGGGCAGAGACTCACCACGAGCCTGGTAAGACGAAAGACACGCACAGCGAGACAGCCGGGAGGAGAAAGGGAGAATGAGAGAAGGGAGAAGGAGAGAGATTGAAACAAGCTCGCATTGTGTGCTCAATGTTTGGCTTATCTGTGTGTGTTGTGTGCAGACATAGAGATGTCTCAGTGTAGCGATTGGGAGGAGCTCCTCCGCTATGAGCAGAACTACCCCCTGCCCACCACTACGGGGCCTCTCTGGAGAATGAGAGTGCTCCAGGCCACACCCACCACTCAGAAAATCAGAAGGGTAACCCACCTCACTCGGACACACATTTGCGGACGATCCCTTGCACCATCGCTGCGTCTGGTGCTGGTGTGTCTTGATGTGCGCAGGGTTCGGTGCTGTACCCATCGTACCGGACGTGGATCGTAGGCATCTTCCACCACCTCATCATGGACGGCCTGGCGCGGCAGAACTTCTGGAAGGACTTCCTCAACACCATCTACACCCTCGCCCAGCGCCGCAACCCCCACCGCACCTCCCCTCCCCCTCTGCACATGTTCGCCTCCGCGTCGACCATCGCATCGCTGGAATCGCTCCCTGAACTCCCCTCGATGGCCGACAACACCTTCATGGGGGGGCCCGTGAGTGAGTCGCTGCCGCCGCCGGTGTCGTCCGTGATGCCTGGGACGCTTTTGGACGCCCTGACGAAGCCGATCTACGCAGTGAGTGACGAGGTGGCCTTCCAGATCGGCAAGGGCCTGACGATGTTCTTCCGCAAGCTGATGGTCAAGAAGAGGAACCCCTTCTCCGTCATGTACCCCGCTGAGCACTACAGGGACAGGCAGCAGGTGAGGCGAGTGAAGTGAAGCGAGGGACGGAGGGAGGGAGAGGGGGGGAAGGGGGGTCACAACGCATTAGCATCCGTCCATTCTCTTCCTGTGTGTGTTGTGTAGGCTGCGCACACATCGATAGTGCCTCTGTTGTTCGATCCGTCGACGACCAAGAAGTTCATCCAGACGTGCAAGCAGCACAACATCCCCCTCAACTCGGTGCTGACCGCCACGGCCGCCTCTGCTGCCGCCCAGCTGATCGGC